CGGCATGCGGCTTCGACAGCGCAGAATTCTCCGAGTGGAAGAACGAGACACAGCGCGCCCTCTCGCGCGACGCTACTGCTGGGCGCCGTCGTTCGCGGGGGGGCTCTTGCGCATTCGTATCTGTAGCGTTAGCGCAGGCGGCGTTTTAAATAACCTCCGTAGCAAATTAGGGTACAACGTCAGGTCGTAGGTTTTTTTGAATGTAATCTCTCGATATATCTTATACAAATCACATTAGAACTTTTACGTAAAGATTTGAGACTGATCTGCGATTACGAGATTCGGCCGTTGGTGACGAATCGAATTTCAAGCGAATCGAAGTGTGAAGGTAAGCACAGTAGATAGATTTCATTAAAAAGACGATTCTTACAAAGAACGGTACAACTCCATATAAATTCATTGGGGTATGGACGTTTCTTGTGTATTCTGTTACATACAACCACGCAATTAGGACTCTAGCAACAATTCATATATTTAAGGAAATTTTGTAAAAGCTCGAAGGTGTCTTCGGGTATCATGATTTCTAATAATCAAATCAATTTCAATAATAATTTTATAGTCCAATGATCGATCCATACGCGGAGCAGTATTTTGAAGTAACAACTGGTTACACCCGCAGGAATGCCAACAAATAAAGCAAAAAACGTATTGGAAATTTATCGAACAGATTGGTACGATATGAGGACCTTTGCCGCCGCCGCCCTCGCCGCCGCCGCCGCCGCCGCCTCCACCGCCGCCGTCCCTCGTGCGGACACACACGCCCAGGAGCGGGCGCGAGTGCGTGAGTGACGGTCGACACCACCTGGTGAGCGCGGAGCCGCCAGCCCGTGAGAGGATGTGCCTGCGCCGACCAATCCCTAAAAGGAGACTGCATAGTCGAAGGAACTCGGCGCCGCCTACAAGCTAAGTTTCTGGACCTAACACACCCAAGACACCATCGCCTCACTCCATATTCCTAATCGAGATCTCGCACCCCGGACCCCGGATCCCGAACCCCGGACCCCGGACCCCAGACCCCAGATCCCAGACCCCGGACACCAGACCCCAGACCCCGGACCCCGGTCCCAGACCTAACACCAATGCTTTGTAAGAATTGCACATTTAGGAACAGATCTTTGTTTCAATTCAACCAAAATTTAACTAGATTTTCCCTGTATGAAATATTTGAGTGCAATAATCTGTGATAGTCTTTAAACGTAAGCATTAAACGTACGCAAAGTATTTCCTGTAAATCATTTTTTAAAGTATTTTTGAAATTTGGAAAACATAGTTTTTTATGTTTATTCTCTATGAATACTTCACTATCTTCATGTCTATCACAAAAAATATGTTAATCTAACGAAAATATTCTTATCAAATTTTGATTTAAATATAATTATTGTAGCCTGATGATCCTTGGAATACGAAACGTGCAATTTTCCATTCGGAAACAAACCTATTAGGTCAAAAACACTTTCGAAATGTCCTTTTAACATGCTAAATACGTGTTTTTGCAACAGATAATACCTCTTAGAACGAAATGTGCCTGGTTTGAGTGGGAAAAGGCCCCAGTGCACTACAACTGGGTGATGTTGCATTAGAATATTCACGAAGCCGACCCCTTCGCCGGTGGGTGGGACCAGGGCTTTACGGGGGGGGCGAGGCGAGTGCAGCGGAGCGGCGCGGGGCCTGGTGCTGCTATCGACCGCGCGCCACCGCCACCGCCGCCGCCAGGTATCGAGCGGCGACCTGCAAGCTGCCTGCCCGTCGTCAACGACCCAATAAAACAAAAGGGTGCCCGCTCCCCCCCCCGCCGTTTTCCTTTCACCGAATCGTCTAATTGCGCTCCTCCCTGCCTCTGTTTCCGTTTTCGATGACTATCTACGCACGAGAAGATTTTTGCAACAGCTTCCTCTTTCAAGTAAAGACGTGACTTCGGTAGCTGAAGTCAATAGATTCTTGGTTGTCCGGAAGATGTCGCATCCTAGGTATATTTGCCAACGCTCTGGTTGTCGCATCGAGGGGTATGTCATATTAGTAAATGGACCCTTGCACCGTCCACCCTCATGCACTTTGCCTTGAAGATCACAGTGCGGCGAAGAAAACACTGACAACTGTTACTATGATGCGGCGTCTTACGGGCACACAAGAATCTATTACTCCTGTCAACCTTCGGCCCTTAACAATATTTTAATGTCACAGGAAGATGTTTACATTCAGTTTCATGATCCCATACATTTCGCAACTCTATGGTATGTTATTGGAGATCCTATTCCACTTTTCGAGTCAAGCCCTATATATTCGAATTGAACATAGAGACACTTAGGTCACGAGCTGGACAAAGAGGAGACGCTGCCATCCAATCGGGAGCTCCGTCGGTAATTATTGGTATTCAAGCTCTTGATTGGATGACAATCCCCCTTTCCTTCCAACTTTAGACCTTAAGAGCCACCATGTTGAAATCGGGAGTATGTCGCACGGGTCCAGACCACTTGTGCAGATGGCAGCGGAGGCGACCTTCAGTGCAGCATCGGAAGGGGTAACTCAGGGCATCAACTAATGTCACCGCAGTGCCACCGACCGGGGGTCCCCGGCCGTGGCAGGATCTTTTTACACTAGCCTGATAATTACGTCGAGTTCAGTCTCTGTCTGGAGAAGACTTACAGCGGCCTGCTGCTCTGATCGGTAGTTTTCCGTGATTTGTCTGATCAATACCACACGAATGCCGGAGTAACACCCTAAGAAACGGGCCATGGACCGCGCGATCTTTCCCCACTTCCTTGTCTTCTCCTCACTCCTTATTCACACTTTAACACACTACTCTACTTCACATACCAGAAGACTGGACGGAAGCTTAGAGCTTGTCCCGGCTGGTGAGAGATACCTGGATGAAGGAAACTCGCCGCAGTAGGTCGGAGCCGGATCTCACCATCTAGTGTGAAATATAACCGCCACATCTCTAGGAAAACATGCACTACAATTGTGGGACTAATGACCTTATCAATCGTCGCGCCCAGAATCACTAATGAATCAATGAATAATGAGCGCGGCGCGGCGCAGGCACAGCGTTGCTCGGCGGCGGGTCCGCGTCCTTCGCGGCCATTGGCCCCTCGCGCGCTGGCGGCCGCCGCGCGCCAATCAGCGCTGAGGGAAGAGCTGCGGGTGCCCCGCGGGAGGGCCGTCGGCAGCCGCTTCGCTCGCCGGATAGGGCGCCGATGGCTGCCTAGTTCACTTCTAGTACCTACAAGCATGTCTCTCGCCACGCTAGTGTTGACGCAAAGCTAGAACGGCTCGCGCTGCCCGACGGCCCGCACCCGCTGCGCATTCAGCGGATACATATATCGTAGCACGTTTGTATATTGCATGCGCGTAGCATTTATATAATATAATAGAAGTGTA